CTATTTCCTCCCCTCCCCAAGTCTCTTTTTAGCAGAATGAGTGCAAAAAATATCCCAGAGCTGAGGCCAGAAAAGATCCCATGAATAAACCTTTGTTTGCTTTTTTTAGCATCATTACAGGACCTTCTGGAAATTCCATGTGTTCTGTTTGCTGAAGGACCTTGAGTTCTCAATAAAGCTAGTTTGCAGAAGCCCTAAGGGAATTTTGTGTCCCTTGCCACAGACCCAGGTATAGGCACTGCTGTCTCATTTCTGGATGTAGAGATCGGGATAGGGATAGGGATGGAGATAGAGATAGATTTTTTAATGAGAACTCTGACCAGCTTTTGGAGAAAGTAAAAAGCTTATTTCTGTTCATCCTGGGTTATCTTCCACAAACCTGGTTTTTGTCAAATACAGTGGAAATGTCAGTGTCTGTCTGTCAATGGAAACAGCCATTTCCCATTGCAGAAAGAGATGGCAAAAGAGGAAGGGAAGGACTGTGGGTAACAAGAACCAGGCACCTGTAAGGAAACAGGGACTTTATAGACTTTACGTTCATGACAACCAGGGAGGCAGCAGAGAGTGTCCCCATTTCACATATGAGGATGTAGCAACTCAGGTCATTTGAATAATTTGCCCAAGATCACAGAGGTGGGAAGTAGCAGAACTGGTTTCTATGGGTCTGCACACAGGGCAGCCTCCTAATTAATATCTGTGGATTTCAGAGTCCATGTGCAAAATTAGCTGGGAGGAGAGAGGGCCTTCTCTGATTAATTTCGGAGAGTGATTAACGAGGAATGTAAAATTTGATAAAAAGAATATGCCATCAGATTCGTAAAATGCCTATCTACCTTAGAAAACCTTCTGCAGCCTCTCAGCACAGAAGGACCAAGTGAAGTGTGGATTTTTCAGCTAGGGAAGCTGCAGCTTGACATGATCATTGGATGAATGAGCAGTGGACTAGAGGAGGAGCATAGGCCGCTGGCACCTAAGTTAGAGGCCCTACCACTATATCTGTGCATCTCAAACCTTGACATGCTTCAGTTACCACCCCAAATCCGCTGTATGACCATTTCTGGAAATGGCCACAGGATCCGTATTTTAAACTCCCAGATGGTTTTTTGTGACACCAAAGTTTGTACTAAATTTTTTGGTTCCTTAGACTTTGTGAGTCAGAAGACCTAGTCCCTCCCTTGCACTAAGGTCCTAAGGACCTTCCAGTCTACTGGTATCTTCTAAGCTAAAAAAAAAAAAAAAAAAAAAAAAAAAAAGTTCTCAAAGGAAGACAAGAAAATACTCTGTGTTCTCTCTCCCATTTTTAATAAGCCTCGCCATTAGCTAGTTCTTCCTATGGATCTAACTATAGCTTTTCTTTATTCAGTTTTCCCCTTTTTCTCATCGTTAGGAATAGAGAACATTTGACGGCCATCCCTCGTGCAATAATGGTCCCTATAATTGAAAGCAATTCATATGTCTCTCTTCAGAATCCTCCTACCTCAGACTGAATGCTCTGTCCTTTTAGCATCAGAATTATGAAATATTTTTAGACTGAGGCATGGACCCTGAGGACAGCATCACAGAGAAGCTGCAAAGAACTGCTTTTTCCAATGTGGCATATTTTGAATAAATATTATTTAAGAATCCAACTGATTTCACTTAAGAATGAAAACGGACATTTTCAATTTCCCCTTGTTGCCCTACATTTTATCTATATTTTTAAAAAACCCTCACCTAAAGTTATAAAGCATATAAAAATTGAAACAATAATTTTTTAAATCATTGATCATCATGATACACTATTTATGCAAATCAATGAAAGTGGTCGAACTTCTCTTATCCATTGCTCAGTTAAGATTTATAGCTTCCCATTATCTTTCGGAAAAATTGGTCAGACAAGCTCACATTTTCTCCACCTTTCTGTAGGTTTTCTTTTTTTCCTTATAAGAAGGAGTATTGGTAAAAGGTGGGAAAAACACCCTCTTTCTCCCAACACAAAACCCAAAATGATTTTTTTTTTTCCAAATCACTGTGAGATAATTCCAGTTTGAGCTTGAAAATACAATTCACGTATATGTTTTTTCATGACACGAAAGATCACAGAAATGCCCTAGGGGGAGAAAAAAACTGTTTGGAAGATATGACAAGGTTAACAGAAAAGAGCAGAGGTCTTCCTATGCAGTCAAGTCACTTTGACAAGATGCTCCTCTTCTAGCACGTGGCTAATGTTTGTGCCCACTTATTCTGTGACGCTTCTGGTACCATAGAGGCTTTGGACTTTCTTGGCTGTATTTTTGTATTCCAAAAAGTTTACAGTATGGCTAGATTCAATACCCAGACAAATTCTAAATTCTGAATCCAGTTTAAAAAAAAAAAAGAAAGAAAGAAAGAATGACTAGGTGGCTACTGCTTCTTTCTTTTTGGTCTTTTCGTTTTGCTTCTTAGAAAAATGTAAACATTTAGAAATAGCCAACTAATAAATGAAATTGTTTGAAAAGGTGTTGTGGTCAGGGCATTCTTCCTTCCTAGCTCTACCAAAGGACCTTCCATAGGCAGAATTATTCAGCAAGAGGCATCCCATGGAGAAGGAAGTGCTGACATTAACACAGGGGATTGGCATGCAGAGGAAGTGCCTGTCGGCAGGAAATATGTACAAACATGGTGCTTTATGACCCGTAGATGCCACTCTTCCCATCGCCAGCCAACTTTATCTGGAAAGACCATTCTGCCTGATGTCCTAAATGTCACATACAAAAGAGCTTTTTTGTTCCTAAAGGATCATTTCCTTACTCAAGGCTTTTGGCCACCAATGCATAAAATCTACAAAGAAAAACAACAAACCATGCCTGGGAAAGACATCACTGGCAGCACCTTCCTCTGGCTCAGGGGATCAGGGCAGTAAAGGAAGACAAGACAGAGATAGCCAACCCTTTCCATCACAGCCAAAAAACAAATGTGGTTTGCAGATGCCTTGGACAGCGATGGCCATTTGGCTCAGAACTGCCTACATTTGTTTCCCTGTCAACCTCACACATACTCCGATGGAAATAATCAAATGCACTCTTGCCCTACCCTGACCTGAGCACATACGCACTTAGAGGACTCTGCTCACACACAATCAGCTGAGCAGATCGGATATTCTACCACCCACCGTAGGAAACCTCATGAAGGGAAGATGTGCAAACATTCCTTCAACCCAGTAAGTCTTCTTAGAGAACCATGGTTCTAAGATCTCTACAGAAAGTGGTTTCTTTGAAATAAGACATCACTATTCCATTGGGGCCTAGAATGCCAAACCAGATCAAGACAACATAAAGAGAGCCTTTTGCTCCTTTAGATTGTAAACTGATATGGTATTGGTATTATTTTGTGGTCTCTCCTGCTTAAAGAAATGCAGTGTCTTGAATCTACACAGAAATGTGCTCAAGAGGCATTCCCAAAGGTTGGCCTAATAACAGTATTTTCCATTGGCTTCCTCACTTCGTGTTTTTGCTGTTCCTACTTTCCCATCTTCCTCGCCTTCTGTGTTGTTGTGGTCCAGGAGCTGACTCTCCCTCCTTAACCATGACCTTTGTACTTTGCTGAAGAGATTCCCATGGAGGTCTAACTTTCCTCTTGGTTTTCTACCAGCCTGATTGGAATTGAGTTAGCGATGGCACTTAGTCTTTTTAAAAGCTTTAGTTGATGTTCACAATCTGAAGAAATGTCAGTGGTGGCCACACCAAGTAAGTGGTCAGGATGATAGGAGCCCCCATGCACGTTGTGGTCAGCCATTCTCATTTCTCCAGTGACTCCTGGATTCTAAAGATTTTTTTTTTTTTCCAGAAGATAGTCCCTGTGTGCAATTCCTCCTTTCAGGCCAGTTCAGCAAATGTTTTCCTAGTGGTAAGAAAACCACGTGTTCCATGTATCACTGACCTGGGTGCCATGGAAGAATTAAAGAAGTATGCCTCATTTTTTCTGAGGTACCTACCAGTTGAGGCAAATGAGACTCAGCTACACGTGAAACCATCACAAAGCATCAGGATAACGCTCATAATCGGGCACCGAACTCTGATGCAGAGTTAACAGTAAAACATGAGTTCAAAGAAGGATAAACCAATGTGGATGGCCATTCTGGAGGGTTGAGAAGGTTTGGGGTGAGTGAGAAGACGGGGAAGGCCATTCAAGGTATGGAAAATATGCTCAGCTGTGTAGCAGTCAGAGCTAACCTACTTTCATCTTAGCCATCTCTACATACTAGGTGAAAGGCTGCCTCTTTGGAATTTTGTTTTGCCCCTTGGGAAGGTTCCCAAGGTGAAGATGTGGCAAGATCCCATTTGCCCATGCACAGACAATCCAAGCAGACAGTGCTGGCGATCTTATAGCCTGGTTCTATAGGCACAGCAGGAGTAAATATCTGTCAAAACCTTGGGAAGTGGAACATTTCCAAATGATCAAGTGTCAAGATTTCAGTCCTGGGTAAGCCAGTTAGCTTTGCCTGTTTCACTACATGGGTTTGTGCTGTTAACCCTGGTCCAAGTATCCCATGTTAGTCCTAAGAAGCCTGGGCAAGAACATAAATGGATTATGATAAATCTGCCACCACCGTTTAAAAAAATTCCACTTTATTACTGGCTATGCCTACTGATGTTGTTGTGTTGGCCCATTCAAAGGTTTTGTGGGTTTTTAAATCTGGTTTTGTTTTTATAGAATGTATCATTAAAACATACTCATGGTAGCGGTATAGTACAGTGGCTGAGTATGGGTACTAGAAGCACATTTATTTGGGTTAAAATTGTAGCTCAGCCCTTTCTGCTGCATGACTTTGGACAAGCTACTTAACGTCATTGTGCCTCGGTGTTTTTAATGTGAAGAATGGGGATGATGTACTATTTTGATAGGATTGATTTGATGACCAAATGAGGTAGTATATATAAGAGGAGTAGAGGAGGGCCCTGGGTGTGCCATAAAGTTCAAGTTATCATGATGACAACGGGCATTATTGATCCAGAATGGACCTTAGACAGCATCTAGTTAAATACTACAGTTTTGAAAATAAGGAAACTGAATTCTCGAAAGGTAAAGGGACTTGCTGAAGGTCATTAGAATGGATACAAGTACTTTGGGCCCCTGACTCATTAGAGAAAAATTTACACGTATGTGTTATCGTAACCTTAACAAAGCACATTCACACAACGTTATCCCCAGAGTCCTCCTGTTATACCATGTGCCTCTCCAAACTGAATTGCTGAAACATTTGTCAGGCACCCAAGTATAAGAGTTCCACAGGGAACGATTCTCAGTGAGTTCCAGAAAGAGGCACTTGTGTAATGAGATGAGGGAAGGGTGTAGGGAGGGCACGTCTCAACAGTGCGGCAAACAAATGTGAGGCATTCAGTGCCGTGGCAAAGTTACGTTCCATTATTAATTTGATGCTGTGTTAAATTAGCCATTTTTATGAGCAGCAGAGAGAATTCCTTCAGGGGGAGCTGCCCTATATTCCGTGAGCCCAACTGTCCCAACAGGCTGTCAAGACAGTGCCCGTTTCTCCCCAGTGATCAGGAGCAGATGACTATAATGATAGTAGGTTGGCCGCGTCTGGCTTGTGGGAAATAATATCTTTGGTCACTTGAGGCCTGCCTCCCTCTGTACGTGTGTCCATCCCGAATCAGGCTCCACTCCATCGATGACCAACCAACTGATGCGCCACAGTCCTTTACTTGGAAGTGTCTTTTGGACCGAGTGTCCCTGTATTGCACAGGCATCAAATTCCTTTAACAGTGCTTTTTATTCTTGAAGCAAGATGGAGAAAAGTATGTTTTACTAGAACTTCTCTGAGGGAGACCACTGTGTGTTGCTTGATAAATCACTTGGTTTGGTGGCTTGAGACCTCAAATTTCTTTATGTGAAATAGCAATAGCCTGATTAGGGCAGGTTAGGGGCAGAGTTACTTGAGACGATAGAGGAACAAAAGACTGACTTTGTGTGTGGGAATTTGGTGTAAGAATATTGGAGAGTTATATCTGGTGAGAGGATTTGAAATATTTTGCTCTGGAGTGTGTCGTGTAAACTGTCCTTTACTGTTTTTCTTATGATTCTTCAGTAAAATCTATAAACAAATCGTGAACTGGACTTTCTTTTTCTTTCTTTCTTTTTTTTTTTTTTTTTTTGGAAAACAGTGAAGGAGTCAGTATTGTGATAGAATCTGGCAGAGGGCAAAAGGAAAGTTGGATTAAAAAATGTGCTGAGGTACCCAGTGACAACCTGAACAATAGAAGAATTCTTCTTTCTACCAATAGCTAGCGAATTCTTTAGGAGGAATGGCCAACCTTCAATTTCCTTAGTTTTGGAAACATTTTTCTTCTTTTTGTTCACTAGATGTATGTTACGGACTGAATTATGTCCTTCCAAAGTGGATAGGTTGAAGCCTTAACTCCCAGTGCTCCTATATGGGCAAATAGGGACTTGGGGAGGTAATTAACCTCTTTTTTTAAATTCTCAAGTTAGTTAATATGCTGTGTAGTCTTGGCTTCAGGAGTAGAACCCAGTGATTCATCACTTACATATGACACCCAGGGCTCATCCCGACAATGCCCTCCTTCATGCCTGTCACCCATTTCCCCACCCCCACCCCACCAACCCTCAGTTTGCTTTCTGTATGTGAGAATCTCTTATGGTTTGCCTCTGCCTCTGTTTTCGTCTTATTTTTCCTACCCTTCCTCTGTGTTCATCTGTTAAGTTTCTCAAATTCCACAAACCTCTTATAAATGAGGTTATAATTGTGGGACCCTAATTTAATAAGGTTAGTGTCTTTATAAGAAGGGGAAGAGCTACCTAGGCGTTCTCTATCTCTGCACACACAGAGGAAAGGCCATGTGAGGACACAGAAGACGGCTGCCTGCAAACCAGAAAGAGAGGCCCCTTCTTGAAACCAGCCGTGCTGGGAACTTGATCTTGGGACTTCCAGCCTCCAGAACTGTGAGAAAATGAGCTTTTCTTATTTAAGTCACCCAGTCTGTGTTTTCTGTTTGTTTGTTTTCTGACAGCCCAAGTAGACTAATACAGTGTGTTGTTCCATGAAAAGTACACCCACTTCCTACCTGTTGGATGTGGCTTTGTATTAACTTTTCCTGCTTCTTCCTTTACCTAGAATGCTCTGCCAACCAGTGTCTCCTCTTCTCCTGGAGAGACAGTTTCTTTTATAAGCTTATTTACTGTTGAATAGCGCTGGTGTCCAGATGTGCTCTGGTTCTCCCGTCTCTCAGTAACCAGAGGAGAAAACCAGTAGGAGATGGTAGGAGATATGTGTGTGTGTGTGTGTGTGTGTGTGTGTGTGTGTGTGTGTGTGTGTGAGAGAGAGAGAGAGAGAGAGAGAGAGAGAGAGAGCGAGAGAGAGAGAGCGAGATTTGCTTCAAGGAGCACACTTACGCAGTTGCAGGAGCAGGCTTCATAATCCCACAGTCCGCAGGGCAGGCAGTCAGGAAGGAGCAGCAGCAGCGCCAGCTGCTGCTTCATGCCAATGAGGTGAGTCAGCGGATCTGCAACAATAAGGAAAGCATAGAGACCTCAGAACGTAGAAAGATTTTACAGTTAACTTCTCTTCTATCACTTGGAATCTTTTCTATTCCAGGAGGGCCTAGTCCCTCTTTAAAGGGCTTCTACCTGATTAAGTCAGGCCCATCAAGGATCATCTCTTTTGATTAACTCAAAATCAACTGATTTGGGACTTTAATTGCAGCCAAAAACTCCTTCACTGTAGCATCTAGACTAATGCTTAATTTAAAAACTGGGGAAATCTGTGTGCATATTACAAAATGGCTACCTTCTGGCTTTGACACTCTGATTCTCATGAAAGAATCTCCCATGTAGCCCACCCTGATCAGAAACATACTAGAAAGGGAGTTTGGAGGAGTGTAGGTTAGCTTACCAAATTAGCACATCCCAAAGCCATCACAGTGTTCAGTGCTTACACATGTGTCCTTCTTATTCCATAACATATCTAGGGCTGGTCTGTCAGAAGAATGTTCCCTGAATTCCATGGAAAAGACCACCAGGCTTTAGAAAGACACACTCTCCTCTTCTGTTCTTCCTCCACTTGTCTTCTTTGGTATTAAATCCTGTCCAGTCTCACCATGGCAGTCTTTGGCTCTGTTTGCTGGAATGTCCTAGGAAGGAAGGATTTACGCTTCTCATCCTAGTGGTTTGCGTTTTTGTTGTCCTTCCAGTTATAAACTGGGGTTGAATAATGGCTTTACCACTTACAAGCTGTGTGAAGCTGGGCCAATCCCTTACTTCTCCAGGGCTCAAAAAATAATCATCTCTTAGAGTAGCTGTGTAGCTTAAATTACCAAATAAAGATAAAACACTGTATGTTGCCTGCACACGGTAGAAGTTTGATAAGTAAAAACACATCATAATCATTGTCATCTCAATATTATTATTTTGTTGTTGTTATTTTCTCAAAGTCTTTAAAGACAATCACAGGATAAGTTCTTTACCAAACCCAGAGCTGAGAGTTTATATCAGTTGGTTTGCTGCTCACACAGCAGCACATAGGTACCTCAACTTTCTAGTTACTTTAAGACATTTACTCACAGGGGCTTCTAATTGACATCAGCCCTTCATGATTTTCTCAGAAAAATTGCCTACAGCATTAGCAGCAGCAATGATAAATATAATAATAATTCCACAAAACCTCCATGTGTGCTAAAGGATCCAATGACAATCTGAACAGCAGGAGAAAAGTTTCTTCCTACCAATTAATGGGAAGCCAAGTCTAATTTGCCACCTGCACCACACTTTTGAACCTGTCAGGGAAAAAGGAAACCAGTGAACCTTCATCTTGTCACTAGTCTTCTTAGGGACTGCTCTCTAAAGCAAATGAAAATAGCATTCATTAGAGTAAAAAATAGAAAGTCTGTGTCAGCCCCCTATGTTCTCTTCTTGGCTAGAAGCAAAGTCCATCACTGTCAGTGAGGAGGTGGTTCCCAAAACCCACTGGACTTGTCCATTCGTCTGATGTTGGACGATGAATATTCCCTTAAATGCTTTAGAAAAGTTGAAAGTGTTAAGTCATTAGTTCTCCTGTGACTTACGAGTCAAGGGACATTAGAATCATAAAGAGAGTTTCACTGTTTCAGAGTCCTAAATCTGAGAAAATGTGCCAAAGACCAAGATAAATTCCAAGTAAAGAAGATAGTACTTCCAAAATGGGTTTTCTTTGACTCTCCTGAATCATCTAGAGTAACAGTACAAACATTTATACACTCTATGGGTAGTTAATTCCTTATTAAAACAAACACAGACACAAAACAAATAAGCTCACAAACCCCTTCCCAGTAGGTATTTACTAATACTTCAGAATTGTTCAATTTCTTTTCATTGGCACTTTGCTTACAAATACGGATGTAGCCACTGGAAGCAAATGAGTACTATAAAACCACAAAGTTAAAAAATATGGATTATAGTTTATTCATTCAGTAATTCATTAATTCAACGCATATTTAGTAGACCTACTATGCACCAGGAACATTGCAAGACGTAACTACTTACATCCTGGCCATTTTTCCTTAGAAGAAAATAAACATATATTTATTGCGACATTTATATAGAAACTTTATGCTATCAACTTGTAATTTATTGATGATGTACCTAATCAGAAAGAACAAGCTCTTATAGAATATTTCTTGCAAATTATGGTAATCTAATTCTCGTCTTATCCTCATACCTTGATTAAAATTACCTTCTTCCTTTGTTATGAACTCCAGATCCCCTCGTGCTGCTGCTGTTCAGAACTGGCTCATGCCTCTGGACCCTTTTTGCCCCACCAGCCTCTCTGAGGGGTGCTCAGCTGCCAGAGACCCCGCGACATTTTGCCTTTGTCCCCATTATTATTGGTCTATTCCTACTGTTGCGAGTTTAGAGCCAGGTGCTAGGCTCAGTTGCAGCCGTGTGCCCTCTCTACCTCTTCTACCCTGCCACACTGCCATCTCATAGTGAAGAAGGGATGGTATAAATGGACCGCAGTCGAAGAGATTTACTACTGAGCCAAGGTCTGAGACATTCTCTTTATCTCTTAGGGGATGATATTTCTTCTGAGGTCCTGCTTTACGTAGTATGCCACTTAGAATCTGGCACTGCTCTGAGAAGGCCTAGGGCATATGGCATATACCAGAAACGGGGGGTACATGGAATCTCACTCCTTGGGGAGTTTCACCAGAGTGGGTGAGGAAGGGCAGATTGCTGAGTCTGGATTGTGTCTCTAGCTATTTATTACCAGCTACCCAACTTCTTTTGATTTAGAGGGACAGATTTCACTTGGCCTTTAAATTTCCAGGTCTCGGCTCTATTCTTTCTGATGCCCCTGTGTCTTCTCTCTTCTAGCTAGGCTGACACAGAAAGAGTAAGAAAAGCCATACAGAGCCTTAAGCCTGCTTCCCCCATGAGTGCAATAGTTCTTTCTCTCTCTCCCCCCACCCTGCTCTCTACCCCCCCACACACACACACCTTTTTTTTCTTGAGAAGCCCTTCAATTTCTGCGTTTCTGATCAATACTTTATTCACAGAGACTCAGGTTGTCTCTAGCAACAGCTTTGGCTTAAGCATATCATCAGACATACCTTCTCCTTTCAAGATTTGATTTCTATAAGTATGTATCTCTCATCACAGAACATTTTCCAACCACATTTATAACCAGGAGACAATGATTGAGTCCTCATAAATGGAAACAAAGTATTTTTTTAGGTCAAGCTGTGACAACAAGGATGTTTTATTGGACCTATGCAATTATTATATGATACTCTCTTTCTCTCTCTCTTTATACACACACACACACACACACACACACACACACACATAGATATGTACATATATATATGCATATGTACACATATATAATAATACATAAGACAATGTAAATATTGCCTTTGCCTGTCTATAATACTGGACATAATAGAAATATGCTCTGTTCATAAGATATTAGGATGAAGAAATAAAAAATTAAGGTAAAATAGGGGAAAAAATAATTGAATGTATTTATCTTGCTACATATTCTTCCAAGTGTAGAGCATGAATGCAGCCAGTAATTGAGGACTTCCTTGGGCTACTTGGGCATCACTAGATGTACCATATGGGCCCATTTATGTATTAAATAGAGTACTCTTTCTAAATACACCTATTTAAGACTCTGGGTTTCCCAGGTCTGAGGAAGCTCAGGATAAGAAGAATTGAAACTGAAATCCAGAAAAGTCTATGAAAACAGCCTGTTCCCAGACCACTCTTCTTAGGAAGGAAAGATCAAAGAAAATATCCAAATTAAGTATATTCTAATTTGGAACATTGCTTGCAATTAGATATATAATTTTCTATTTTCGAAAACCATTTACAGCTCTGCCTTAAATAGGTTTCATATATATATGTGTGTATATATATATATGTATGTATTCATGAGTATATTCATATATATATGTATTCATGAGTATGTTCATATATATATTCATGAGTATATTCATACACACACACACACACACACACACACACACATATATATGGCTCTGATTCATAAGCAGAAGGCTTTTAAGACAATTAGTCATTATGGGTAAAACCTGTATAAACTTCATATCTCATACTAGTTCTGGAAAAGTCTAAGAATGACTTTGAACTACCTAAGGACTTTACAGGTCAAGTATAGTTCGGCCAAACTCCAATCTCATGAGAACCAAACCTCTCATGATTTGCTTTGTCCCTTGCCCTTGTCCTGGCAGGACCATGTAAGACAGATGGTCCTAGAGATTTCTGGCTCCAGAGGGAGCCCTTTGACCTCACTAGTTCCTTCCAACTCCAGAGTTTCACTCAGCCCTTTAAGAGATAGCACAGAGTCTTCCTAGAGCTGTGGTTCAAAATTCCAGGGACGCCATCTAGACTGTGGCTGAAGATTATTTCTGTTAAAACAGAAGTGTGGTGTCTTCATGATTTTTTAAAATCTTTGAAGATGTACAGATATTAATTTTTAAATGCCAGTGCTATGAATCCACGAAGGAGAAATCCTAAGGGAAAAAAAATCCCTGATTAAAGAAAGAGTACTAATTCCCTTTGGACAAAGAGACAGAGGAGACACAGGAAGAAAGGAGTAAAGTAGGGGGAAAAAACACATAGATTTGAATGGAATGATATGGTAAATAATAACTAACGTTGTGGCTGAATTGTGTAGAAGCTAATACAGTCTGCATACGGACTCATGTTGCAGGTTGAAGAAAGCAGGTAGCTAAGTCAGAATGTCCCTGGCAAGAACCAAGGACACATGGTAGGCCGGGAAGCCCCAGTGCCATCAGCATAAGGTAAACTAAGGAAACAGAGGAAATAGGAAGAAGTATTACTTGTTGAACTATTTAGTGATATTAACAACAGAGCTATTCCACGTTTTAACACCTCAACATGTAGAAAGCATGAACTTCTTTTGTGGAAACCACTAACTTCATTAATTGGTTCAACAACTGTTTATTAAGGACTTGCTATGTGCAAGGCATGATGGTTGGTGCTGCAGGTACAATTTAGAACAAAATAAAGCCCTTGTCCCATGGAGGTTTCCATCACATAGGGAAGATATAATACATCCATAAATATTTAAGAATGAAAGTTGTGATTAGTGCCATAAGGACAACAAACAGGGAGCCACGACTGAGGTAAATGAGCAGAGATGGGCCTACTGTAGTTAAAACCATGTGGGAAGACCTCACTGAGAGAACTGAAAAGTAAGGAATCAGTCAGAGAAAGAATTGTAAGAAGGGAGTTCCAACCGGTGAAAGCAAAGGAGATAGCAGGCCCAGAGACTGGAACAGCTTGGTGTGTGTTCTAGGAGCCAACAGCACATAGCCGAGTGGGAGACGTGTGATACTGCTGAGCTATGAGGGAACAGCAGGCAGGGGGAGTTCAAAATGACAGTTTTAGGGGCGCCTGGGTGGTTCATTCAGGGGAGCATCCGACTTTGGCTCAGGTCATGATCTCGCGGTTCGTGAGTTCGAGCCCCGTGTCGGGCTCTGTGCCGACAGCTCGGAGCCTGGAGCCTGCTTCGGATTCTGTGTCTCCCTCTCTCTGCCCCTCCCATCCATGCTCATGCTCATGCTCATGCTCTCTCTCTCAATAATAAACAAAAACTAAACTAAACTAAACTAAACTAAACT